CTTATAGGTAAGTTTGACTTACAGGAGAAGAATTCTAAGAGGAGAGGGATTCTTAATGGGCAAGTTTGTATGGTTATAAATAGGTGAAGTCTCTACAGAGTTAGGTATGAGAAAAAGATGTAAGAGAGTTGTAGGGTTTTGTGGGATAGACACCCCATAGAGTATTGGGGCTCTACGTCTTATGAGTGTGTATGTTTGTTTGTGAGTGGACTAGAGGAGATTGAGAGGGTCCACATAGGTATGGTGTATGGGAGCATATGGGTATGTGTTTGGTTATGTTGAAAGGGTGCAAAGAGTTTGAGTTTGTGTTTGTTTGGGTTGAGAATACTTCATAGGACTAGAAGAGATTGAGAGTGTCTTATGAGTATTGATTGTTGAGTGAGGTTGATGATTTGATGTAAGTTTGTAATTCTCTACAACTAGTGGATCTTGTTTCTCATCAATGGATGTAGGTCAGTTGGACTGAACCACGTTAAATTGTTGTTTCTTATGTGTTTGATTTATTGTTTGATTTCGCTTCCGCTGGTGTGATTGGATTGGAGGCTTTTACCCCAACAAGTGATATCAGAGCTGAAGGTTCGAAACGTGAGAAGAGTTGAAGATTCAAGATGTGGGAAGAGCCGAAGGTTCGATATGTGAAAGAGCTGAAAGTTCGAGATGTGAGAAGTGCATGGTTTGAGACATGGGAAGAAGCAAGTTCAGAAAGCTCGATTCAAGAGAAAAGTTCGAGTTTAAGTTTTGAAGATTGAGGATTGGTTTGTATGAAGCGTAAAGACACAAGAGAAGAGAAAGATGATTGTGAGACTTCCATTGTAGGTGGAGCCAAGCATGTCTAGCATGAAGACAGATGATTGATGAAATTTGAGTCAAGGTGGAGATTGTTGGGAATATTGACTCAAATCTCATAAGAGATTTATTAGAGATTTGTTTGAGATTTGTCAGATATTGCTTGATGGACAAGAAGACTTGCAAGAGAAAAATTCTAAAAGGAAAGGGATTCTTAATAATAGGTAAGTTTGACTTACAGGAGAAGAATTCTAAGAGGAGAGGGATTCTTAATGGGCAAGTTTGTATGGTTATAAATAGGTGAAGTCTCTACAGAGTTAGGTATGAGAAAAAGATGTAAGAGAGTTGTAGGGTTTTGTGGGATAGACACCCCATAAGAGTATTGGGGCTCTACGTCTTATGAGTGTGTATGTTTGTTTGTGAGTGGACTAGAGGAGATTGAGAGGGTCCACATAGGTATGGTGTATGGGAGCATATGGGTATGTGTTTGGTTATGTTGAAAGGGTGCACAAGAGTTTGAGTTTATGTTTGTTTGGGTTGAGAATACTTCATAGGACTAGAAGAGATTGAGAGTGTCTTATGAGTATTGATTGTTGAGTGAGGTTGATGATTTGATGTAAGTTTGTAATTCTCTACAACTAGTGGATCTTGTTTCTCATCAATGGATGTAGGTCAGTTGGACTGAACCACGTTAAATTGTTGTTTCTTATGTGTTTGATTTATTGTTTGATTTCGCTTCCGCTGGTGTGATTGGATTGGAGGCTTTTACCCCAACAAGTGGTATCAGAGTTGAAGGTTCGAAACGTGAGAAGAGTTGAAGATTCAAGATGTGAAAAGAGCCGAAGGTTCGATATGTGAAAGAGCTGAAAGTTCAAGATGTGAGAAGTGCATAGTTTGAGACATGGGAAGAAGCAAGTTCAGAAAGCTCGATTCAAGAGAAAAGTTCGAGTTTAAGTTTTGAAGATTGAGGATTGGTTTGTATGAAGCGTAAAGACACAAGAGAAGAGAAGATGATTGTGAGACTTCCATTGTAGGTGGAGCCAAGCATGTCTAGCATGAAGACAGATGATTGATGAAATTTGAGTCAAGGTGGAGATTGTTGAGAATATTGACTCAAATCTCATAAGAGATTTGTTAGAGATTTGTTTGAGATTTGTCAGATATTGCTTGATGGACAAGAAGACTTGCAAGAGAAAAATTCTAAAAGGAAAGGGATTCTTAATAGGTAAGTTTGACTTACAGGAGAAGAATTCTAAGAGGAGAGGGATTCTTAATGGGCAAGTTTGTATGGTTATAAATAGGTGAAGTCTCTACAGAGTTAGGTATGAGAAAAAGATGTAAGAGAGTTGTAGGGTTTTGTGGGATAGACACCCCATAGGAGTATTGGGGCTCTACGTCTTATGAGTGTGTATATTTGTTTGTGAGTGGACTAGAGAGATTGAGAGGGTCCACATAGGTATGGTGAATGGGAGCATATGGGTATGTGTTTGGTTATGTTGAAAGGGTGCACAAGAGTTTGAGTTTGTGTTTGTTTGGGTTGAGAATACTCCATAGGACTAGAAGAGATTGAGAGTGTCTTATGAGTATTGATTGTTGAGTGAGGTTGATGATTTGATGTAAGTTTGTAATTCTCTACAACTAGTGGATCTTGTTTCTCATCCATGGATGTAGGTCAGTTGGACTGAACCACGTTAAATTGTTGTTTCTTATGTGTTTGATTTATTGTTTGATTTCGCTTCCGCTGGTGTGATTGGATTGGAGGCTTTTACCCCAACAAGTGGTATCAGAGTTGAAGGTTCGAAACGTGAGAAGAGTTGAAGATTCAAGATGTGAAAAGAGCCGAAGGTTCGATATGTGAAAGAGCTGAAAGTTCAAGATGTGAGAAGTGCATAGTTTGAGACATGGGAAGAAGCAAGTTCAGAAAGCTCGATTCAAGAGAAGAGTTCGAGTTTAAGTTTTGAAGATTGAGGATTGGTTTGTATGAAGCGTGAAGACACAAGAGAAAAGAAGATGATTGTGAGACTTCCATTGTAAGTGGAGCCAAGCATGTCTAGCATGAAGACAGATGATTGATGAAATTTGAGTCAAGGTGGAGATTGTTGGGAATATTGACTCAAATCTCATAAGAGATTTATTAGAGATTTGTTTGAGATTTGTCAGATATTGCTTGATGGACAAGAAGACTTGCAAGAGAAAAATTCTAAAAGGAAAGGGATTCTTAATAGGTAAGTTTGACTTACAGGAGAAGAATTCTAAGAGGAGAGGGATTCTTAATGGGCAAGTTTGTATGGTTATAAATAGGTGAAGTCTCTACAGAGTTAGGTATGAGAAAAAGATGTAAGAGAGTTGTAGGATTTTGTGGGATAGACACCCCATAGGAGTATTGGAGCTCTACGTCTTATGAGTGTGTATATTTGTTTGTGAGTGGACTAGAGGAGATTGAGAGGGTCCACATAGATATGGTGTATGGGAGCATATGGGTATGTGTTTGGTTATGTTGAAAGGGTGCACAAGAGTTTGGGTTTGTGTTTGTTTGGGTTGAGAATACTTCATAGGACTAGAGGAGATTGAGAGTGTCTTATGAGTATTGATTGTTGAGTGAGGTTGATGATTTGATGTAAGTTTGTAATTCTCTACAACTAGTAAATCTTGTTTCTCATCCATGGATGTAGGTCAGTTGGACTGAACCACGTTAAATTGTTGTCTCTTATGTGTTTGATTTATTGTTTGATTTCGCTTCCGCTGATGTGATTGGATTGGAGGCTTTTAGCCCAACAAATGGTATCAGAACTGTGGTATTCCCCAATAAATGGTATCAAAGCTGTGGTGTTCCCCAACAGAAATGAGAATACAAATTGGCGCAACGACCTTTATTTTCAGTGTTCTTTTAAGCAAAAAGAAAATAAAACTACTACTAATATATGATTAATATAGATGATAACTCTTCATGAATTCAAAATAACTAGAAATTGTTATCATATATATATGTATGTATATATAGAAGAACGAAAATTTGTAGAAATGTTCAACTAGTATGTAATATAATTGTTGGCGAAAATTATACATAGCACTAAACTTTGATTGTACATCATCTCAAAGATTTACAAATTCACAGACAATATCCAACAAAAAATTTGGTCCTCCTCCACTATCTCAATTGAAAAGGGAGAAGAAACAAAAAAGGGAAGAAAAAATGTTGGTGTTTGACTCAAATATTCACCAATAAGGAGTTGCACTCTCAGATTTACTTAGAAGCTCCTCCAAATAATCAGCTCCTAAATCCTTAAACACCAGGATAATTTCCATCCCCATTTCCTTCTTTCTCGATCTTCATGTTCCCTGATCTTTTGCTCTTCATGGAGTACCTTTTCTCAATTGTCAAAGTAGGAGAACAACTTTCTTCAAATCCATAGTTCATTTCTTGAAGTGAATCATAAACTGTATCCATTGGAAAATTGATTATCACCATCGGACCTCGCATTGCGAGTGTAGCTTGATCATACGCTAGCTGTAGCCTCATCTATATCCAAGGTTCCAGGCCAAAGTCTAACACCATTCCTTATGGAATCCCTTATCTCAACTGCATATTTTCCCCATGGCCTCTTCCTAACTCCTCTATACGAAACCTCCTTTCCTGTCTCATCTTCATTTGCATTCAACTTCACTTAATGATCCTTTCTAAAACTATTAACGGATGTGGTATCAAAAGTGTTTTCCTATGCTAGATTTAGGACTCCCAAAGGAACATTTCTTGGGAGTCATTTCCATTGAAAGGAAGGGTTTGGTTATGGAGATAATTGAATGATTCTGGTGAGAATTTTTTTGAGAAATATAGGAAGAAGAGGATTCAAGAGACAATTGGAGATTTGGGTAATGAAAAAATGAAGAGTCCATGCATGAAAATCAAGTAATTCTTATAATGGAAACGATTATTCTTCTTCGATCTTTTAATTAATTCACTTTGATTTTGCTTTTTGGTTTTGGTCATGGGAAATGAAATTTGAAGCCTAGTGATATATATATATATATATATATATATAGTAATTACAAGCTAGGGAGGGAAATGCTACATTATTCAAATATTTATTTTAAAAATGTAAAAAAAAAAAAAAGAAGAAGGAACAAATTAAAGAAACGATGGAAAGAGAGTAAAATTGTATGAAGATGTTATTAGCGTCCAACATCATTATTTGGTCGCAGAATCGACAGGTGAGTCAAAAGGAATACTCGTCGGGGCATGACGGCCAGGTCAAGTCAAAATTCTCTTTCATCACCCGTGATGTTTCGCTTTTATGTCCTACCTATAACTCATATTTTTAGCTAATTAAAATTGTAAATCATTATGCTTAGAGTGATCAATTACAATGTTAATTACCTTATATTGATGAACATGATTTGATTAATATAGTCGGGTTATAGTTAAAGTTTGTCATAATTTTATTTTTTATGCAAGAAAGATTATAATTTGAGAATTAAAAAAAGAATTATAGATGCATAAATTTAAATTTTAATCTAATCTAAAGTACTTTTTAAAATATTTATATAAATCAATTAGACTAGACTTTGAATTTATAAAAAGATTACTTTATATATATATACACTTTTCATTTAAATTATATGATATAATCATATTATTGAAAGGGGTTAATTTTAATTTTTCAAGTGTCACTAATAAGTGAATGCTGATGAAATAAAAATTTACCTATCTAATAATAATGTATAATATAGAATAAATAATCAATATATTTTTAAAAATATTATTTTATGGTGTGATTTTAATAAAACAAAAAAATATATTTTTTCATTGAATAATTATTTCATATAATCCTTCTTTTATTAATTATGTCAAAATTTATCGTAAATGAGTTTCTTAAAATAGCATAATTGATGTTATACTAATTTTTTGAATAGAAAATAAGATGTTATACTAATTGTTAATACATACATTGGTCATTATTTTAAATGTTTTTATCCATTACTAGAATTTCATCCCACTATTTTAGGTAAGTTACTTTTCATTGTTTTTAATATATTTATAATTATTTTTAATAAAAAAATAATAATAATTTTAACTCACTTGTTGAATCTTATAAATATATCAAAATTAAAAAATAATAATAATTTTTAACTCACATGTTACGCTTTTGTTGTTGGCTCTTTTGCTATGACATGAACTTTTATTTTTTATTTTCAAATTTATAAATTATTTGTTCAAATCTATGACGTTTTTCCAATTTAGTTTAAATTATAAACATTTTAAAACTTGTAGAAAAAAGAAAAAGAAAAATACAACTATATTTTTTTATGATGACTTACGTTTGATTTTTAATTTTTTGAATTTTTTTCTTTTTATATTTCTTTATTTATTATTATTTCAATTAAAAAATTTCAAAATTACATAAATTTGGATAAAAAAGACTATTTTGCTTGATTCATTCATGGGTTAGTAATGTGAAGTGAATTGACAAAATCAGGTTGATCAGATTCTTCCAGCTTTTATATATATATTTTTTCTCGTAAACCGACATTCTCCAATTTCTATATAATTGCAATAAAAGCTTTCAATTCCTTTGGATTTATAAAAAATTGTATTTTTGAAATTTTACTTTTGAACAACAAATCAAAATCATAACGAAGACTAGAATAAGAAATATTTCAAATTAGAGGATTTATAAAAAAATTTTACCTTCAAGCCATATTGAATAAAAACTTGAACATAGGTCTACGAGTCAAATACATTAACACACACAATTTTATTTCATTTCAATAAATTATAACATGGAATACTACATCCATAAACCGAATACATGGATTAAATAAAAAGCTTGCAAATCAAGTTATTACATTACCAAACACACCGAAATGAGCTTCAATTACAAATAATTACATACCAATAGTAGCCCAAAACACGTATAGCTTATCACCAATTTGCTCCAGTTTTGATAATAAGCAAACCTCCAAGACCTGACGAAAACCAGGGGAGCCACTACCCCCCAAAACCCCATCACAAATCCAAGTACTACGCTTACATAAAGCCAATTCACATTAGACCTTTTCTTTCCTCCACTCCTACCTCCATTTGTAACATCAGGTGTTTCGCCATTTCTGCTGCAATTTTTAGTGACTGGAGGTCCACAAAGATGATTGCCAATGTACGAAAACCTGTCAAAGCTTTGCAGCTGGGTGCCTGATGGGATTTGTCCTGTCAAGTTGTTGTAGGACAAGTTCAAGTGATTCAAGAAATTCAAATTGGAGAAACTTGAAGGGATTTCACCATGGAGTTGGTTCATCGATAAGTCAAGAGATTCCAACACCTCCATATTGCCAATGTTCTCTGGTATCTTTCCTGTTAGGAGATTCCCTGACAAATTTAATGACCGCAGTCCTATGAGATTACCAAGTTCTTCGGGGATCTCTCCTCTGAGACTGTTAACTGAAAGGTCTATGCCGACTACAAGTCCTAGTATGGTACTGTAATCATCCTCTCTTCCTTTCATCACCAATAATGCACCCAAAAGAAACAGGTTATTAGACTCGAATGACCAGGTACTGTTTCCCACGTGTATCTTGAGGGGTTTTATGGCCATGGCACTTAGGTTACTAAAACATTTTGGAATTGCTCCTGAAATGTTGTTATAACCAAGATCCAAGAACTGAAGAGAATTATGAGCACAAATTTGATCAGGAATATAGGCTTGGAAGTTATTTGAACGGAGGTTTAGAACCACAAGGTTTAAGAGGTTGTCTCCAATCCATGCTGGAATACTTCCCGTCAATTGATTTTCACTAAGATCAAGAATAAGCATGTCAACCAAATTCTGCAGTGTAGATGGTACTTCTCCAAGTAGGTTATTGTTACGAAGGTTCAATGACAGAACACGGCGCAAAAATCCCAAGGATCTAGGAATTTTCCCAGTTAGATTGTTGTTTCCCAAATTTAAGACTTTCAAAAATTGCCAATTTTCCCAACAATTTGGAATTTCACCAGATAGAAGATTTGATTCAATGTCAAGAATGGTCAAAGGTTCCAATTTAGTTGAGGAATTGCAAAGAAAATTGGAAAGTGTTCCTGAAAATAGATTCTTAGACAAAAATAAAAACATCAAATCTGAGGGTGCCTGTAGCAATGGACCTGTGAATAGGTTGGAACTCAAGTCAACAACCAAACTCCTAGGAAAATATGAAATCTTCCCCACTAGTTGGTTGTTGGAAAGATTTAGATATTCAAATTGAGTCGAAAGGTTCCAAAACCAAGTGGGAATGACACCTGAAATTTCAGCATGGGAGATATCTAAATGAAACAAGTTCTTTTGGAATTGTAGCCACTGAGGAAATTTCGGACCAAGATGACAGTTACCTAATTCAATATTTTCACAGTGGAAAGGAGGAATCCAACTTGGATTTGGTTTAAACGTTAACATGTTGTTAGATGCCCTGAAAATTCTCAATCTTGTGAGATTAGAGAAGTGCATTTCTGATATATTTCCTTCCAACATATTATTGCTAACGTCTAAATGTTCCAAATTCCCAAGTTGTCCTAAACTTTGAGGAAGAGTTGCATTCAATTGATTGTTTGAAACATCAAGCAACTTCAAAGATGATAGCTCCCCTACCGGAAGAGGTCCGGTTAATTGATTGTACGAAACATCAAGAACTTTCAATGATGACAACCTCCCTATTGAGAATGGAATGGGACCAGAAATGGAGTTTTCAGAAAGGGAAAGGTATGCCAGATTTTTAAATTGGCTGAGTTGATCAGGTAAATGGCCAGAAAGTTTGTTAGATTCAATATTTAATGACTCTAATCGATCCAAACTACATCTAGACAAACTCTCTATGATTTCTGATACCTTATGATCAATTCCGTTATTTGACAAATCCATCTCTCTCAGATTACAAAGACTCTCCAAACATTTGGGTTCTATAATTTCAAGCTGGTTATGTGAAACATCAAGATGAGTAAGAGAGCTTAAGTTTCTAATGGCACATGAAAAATTACCTTGCAGGCCGACACTGCTAAGACCAAGGAATTGAAGTTGGTTGAAATTAGACAACCAGCTGAGTGTCGATGAAGAAGAGAATGAATTCCTACTAAGATCAAGAAATTTGAGAGAAGACATATTTTGAAAACCATTGGGAATCACACCTTCAACTTCATTGGAGCTAAGATCAATGGACACAAGACTACGAAGACTGAATATCCATGTAGGCACCGAAGACAATGTATTTGTGGAAAGATCAAGAACAGCAAGAGATTTGTAATTAACACTGATTGGAGATGAATCATTATTTAGATTGCAGCCTGACAAGTGTAACTCTACCAAAGAAGGAAGTTTGTGTGTTGCCTGCAGCCAATCAGTTGCTTTACCAAGATCTGCAGAACTCAAATCAAGATACTGCAGAGAAGAAAGACCAGAAACCCACTGAAGAGTTTTAGCTTCAAATAGGGAATTGTATCCAAGATCAAGGCAATGCAAATTTGAGAGATTTCCAAGCATATGGGGAATTGTTCCTTGAAAATTTGCCCGAGAAAGGTTAAGATATGTCAAACTCTTCATCGAACCAATGAATTCGGGAATTGCCAGACCTCCAAAGTCGTTATTGCTTAAGTCTAGGAAATTGAGACATTTCAACTCGATCAAAGAAGGATTTACTCTGCCCCCTAGCTTTGAGCGAAAGTAAGCATCCCATTCAGCTGACCGAAAATAAATTTTTCTTTAATGCTGAAATAAATAGAATATTTTTCAATGCTAATTTTGTAGAACCAACACATATAGCAGAATCAGTAATATGAGTGATGTTTAAAGAATTATTATCACCAATAAAACACCTTTATTGCCAGTATAAGGAGTAGATTGATGCACCAATGATGAATTGGAAGTCATGTGACTAGTAACACCTGAATCTGCTAGCTAGTAGGTATCATTGTTGTTATAACGTCTAGATCCGTGGATCTATCGCTAGACATTGACTTAAGAAGTCGCCACCAATCTTTTTTATCTAGGTGTGATTGGCCACCTAAAGAATCTGTCATTTCAGAGAATACCTAAATTTAAGGGTCCTTAAAAGAATAGGTTTAGGTCTACTAACCAGAACAGGGTTCGAGAGTTCGGTTACGTGTGAGAAAGGTTATAGCACCCTCACAACGCCCATCAAAAGATGGTACTAGCTTAATTTTGTGTTATCCAATAAGCCTTAAAATTTTATCAAGTAATTAATTATTAGAAATTATTCTCAATTGACTCTAATACTTTTAGCAGAAAATTGAAAAAATCCCCTCACCTTAAGAGTATGCAAGAAAACTATTGTTTCACTTGCAGAGGCTCCATCGTCGGATTATTTAACATTAAAAAAAATTCAAAAGAAATAAAAAAGAAAAAAATGATTGTTTTTGTACAAGAAAAAATTGATACTTTCAACTTTTCCTAAAAAAATACTTTTTTTTTGAAAATTTATTTTTAAGGAAAATTGATACTTTCAACTTTTCCCAAAAATATTTTTTTGAAAACTTTAATTTCGAGAAAATTTGATACTTTCAACTTTTCCTCAAAAAAAAAAACCCTTTTTTGAAAATTTATTCTTAAGGAAAATTGATACTTTCAACTTTTCCCTAAAAATATTTTTTTAAAATTTTTAATTTCGAGAAAAATTGATACTTTCAACTTTTCCTCAAAAAAACTTTTTTTTAAAATTTATTCTTAAGGAAAATTGATACTTTCAACTTTTCCCAAAAAATATATTTTTTTGGATTTAATTTAAAGAAAATAAAATAATAAAACAAAATAAAGTGAAAATAAAAAAAATAAAAAAAAGTAAAACAAAAATAAAAATAAAAATAAAATAAAGATAAAAATAAAAGAATATTAAATAAACCTAATCTAATAATAATAAATAAATAAATAAATAAATAAATAAAATATAGAAAAAAAAACTTGATACGGCTCGGCTAACTGCTCGGCTCGGCTTAAAGAAGAAAAATGGCTCGAAGAACGCGGCTCGGAGTGTCGGCTCGGCTCGACTAACGGCTCGGGGAGGCAGATCACCCGCGGGTCGAAAGCGGGTCGATGCTCGGGTCGGGTTAGATCTTGGTAAAATGCGCAGATCCTCTAGGTTACTTAACGCAGAAATGGCGTCGTTTTGAGAGGGTATATAAGGCTGATTCCTTCATTTTTTCAGCAGACCGAGCATCCTCCCTCTCTCTCTTTCTTTCTCTTCTCTTCCTTCTCTCTAGAATACCTGAAGAACTCCGGTTGAATATTCATCGGATTCTAAAAATTTTCATCGAAATCTGGGTTTTTCGTCGAAAGTTCGTCAAAAAACTGATCGATTTCTGAAAATGTTACCGAAAACTGGGAAGTTGGTAGGAAACTTCAAACTTGGCCGGAATAGTTGTCGAAAAATTTAACTTTCGTCGAAAAATTCAACCGAAATATGGAAATTTTCAAAAATTCCCAGAAAAAAAATCGTAAAAATTCTTTGAAAATTCCTGCTGATTTCTAGAGCTGTTCTAAACGCACCAGAACCTTCCTAGCCTTTAAATCTTCTCTGTGTCTTCTTTTCTCTCAACCAGTACTCTTTTTCCTTCTGTTTTCTGTGTGTTTTTCCTTTGATCCTGAGGGTCCTTTTATAAGGATTGATTAGAAGAGTTTCTGATCAATCTCAACTCCTCTTTGGATCGAGATTCAATCATTGAATCCAATATGGACTCTGATTGAATCCCAATCCAATCTTTAGCCGAATAAATCAAAAAAAAATAAAAAAATCAAATAAAAATATTAATGAAAATAAATCAGATAAACCAAAAAATTAACAGATAAATTAAAATTAAATAATAGATAAATTATAACTTATAATCAGATAAATATATATAAATATTAACAGAAAAAATAATAATAAGGATATATATATTAATAAATAGTAGTAATAAATAAATAAATAATAAATACATAAGATAAAACTAAAAGAAAAAAAAATATATAAAAAACAATAACAATAATAAAAATGTAAATAAAATAAAAATAAAATAAAAATACAAAAATACAAAAATAAAATAAAAAAAGAAAATGGGCTTACTCATTTGGATCAGGCCCAATTGATCCGGGCCTGGACCAAATTGGGTGTCTACAATTGTCATTGTCCATTGGAGCATTAAGTAGAGTATCATTTGAAGTAGCAGTAGAAGGATGAAGACTAACAAAAGAATTGCTTAAACTAAGATCAAATTTATTGTAGCGGTATTAACATGTTATGGTAGTACAATTGAATTGGTGACAAATCTGACACTTTATAGTACGATTTGCATATTGAGAATGTGAAAAGTTCTTGTTATCTTGGTTATTTGATTGGAAGTCTCGTTAAGGCATATGATTTATGCGAGAAAAAGACCAAGAATCATGATAATCATACCTTTGATTAATCTATCCAATGCACCTAAAATCACGACGAAGAATATTGAAACTCTGACATTGATTGTTTGGGTGAGTTACCATGGCTGTCTCATGGGAACTAATAATGGCATTCATAGGTTGTGATCACAATACTTGCATTCTTTTCAAGCGTTACTTATGAAATAATAACAATGTTTTCAAATCATTAAAAAAAATGGGATTATCTATACTTTCAATAGTAAAGATAATTGGTTGATATTCAATGGTATTTGGCAATCCATTTAAAGTATGAGTGACCAATTTTGAATCAGAGATATGATGATTTATGGCAGCTAAATTATCTAAAATAGATTTTATCTTGGTAAGATATTCTCCAATAAACATAGTTTCTTCACTCAAACTCTGTAACTCATCACGTAATAGATCTAACTTTGCTTGACATTATTGATGAAAAATAATTTTTAAAGTTATCCAAACATGGTGAGAAGAAGACAAACCTAAGACCTATGTTTGTGCACTTGGTGACAATGTTGCCTTCTGATAGGAGAAAACAAATTGATCATTCTTCACCCACTCTATACATGCAAGATTAGATGTGGTTTTATTATCTTTAGTTATTATTTAGGATAAGGTGCAATGGTGCCATCAACATGCGCCATTAGATCACAGCATAATTAAAAAGGTATTATCTAATCACGTCAAAGCAAATAATTTACTGAGCTTAACTTAATTGAGATAAAGCTAGAAATATTGGGGAAGGAAAAATATGGTATGAAAGAGGATTGGTTGTTGAAAGCCATTAGAAGGTTTAAGAAATAATATATTATAAAGAAAGTTGTTGGAGTAGAATGATAGAAAGTAATTATTTTTCGATTTGAGAAAAGGACAAATATTTAGATCTGAATTGAAGATGAAGAAAGAAGGAAGGCAGCCACTTTGATACCATGAAATGAATTTGTAAAGAACAAATATTCTGTCCTATCCCATTTAGGGTTATAGCATGTATATTTATGTCATGAGAGAGTACAAACATATTTATACATAACTAAATATATAATTATTGACAACCTATTCTAATAAGAACAAAGCAATTACTTTGAGGAAGAAAAAGTAGTAGCCACAATCAACTTCTTGCACATTTGAAATATCATCTTGATACCTTTTTTATTCCATTGCATGATTAAAGTCCATGATACAAGTGTTTTGTTGGCCTATCAACCGTATAATCGAACATTGAATAAGGGTGAGGTAGGGGAGAATATATAGAATAGTAATTGGCATTCTTAATAAAGTGTCATTTTCTTATCAACCTATGCATTCAAGCAAATGGAACAATTGTAACTTTAGATAGCACCATCTAATTTCTAGACTATTTTAGCTTTTTCCCAATGTCTTAATCTGATTACTCTATCTTTTTATATTTAGATTTTGCTGTAGCATTAAAAGGGTTGAAGCCATCATGAAAATCAACCAATTCTTAGGGCAAAGAGCTTGTATATTTAATTAAACTTGGGTGGCATAAGACATAGGATTTCTGCAGAATAGCTCTTCAAGCAGGCATATTAGAAGTGGACTGCTTTCCATTTGTATGCATAATTCAGTTCTTTCTGGATGTCTAGCTTTTGGGGCTTGATAGTTGTAATTGTTGTAACAAAATAATGTGTGCAAAATTTTCATAGATTATTATAATTTATATAACTTTGTTTAATTATAGAAACTATAACTATTTCATGCAAATAAAAGGTGTGGGATTTGTTAGACTCAAAGCTCCCAATCCAATTGAATTGAACATTCACATTAGCGAAAGTAAAATTAAACAATCAATTAATCACATGGGAGACAATAATTTAACATGATTTGATCTAATTGAACTATGTCTACGGATAAAAAAAAGATCTACTAGTTGTAAATAATTATAAACACACAAATCTCAATCAACCATTCAACAATTAATACCCATAGATCCTTTCAATCTCTTCTAGTCTTGTAAAGTATTTTTAACTTAAGTAAACATATACCCATATGCACTCATACACTATATCTATGTGAATTCTCTCAGTCTCTTTTAATCTATTTACAAACATTCAAACATACATACCTAAACGTAAATTTTTAGTAGTCTTAGAGGGTGTCTATTTCATAAAATCTTACAACTTTCTTACATCTTTTTCTCATACTTATTCCTGTAGAGACTTCACTTATAAATATAAATTTACCTATCAGGAATCCTTTTGCTCTTATAATTCTTCTTCTATAAGTCTTCTTGTCCAAGTAATATTTAGCTAATCCCAAACAAATCTCTTATAAGATTTGAGTTATTATTCTCAATAGGATTCACATGTGAGTGTGTTAGCCTACTTGATATGCTAGCATAAGTTCAAAGTTGATAGAAACAGTCAAGTTGTTAATATTGTTAACAAATTGTCACGCTTCGTTTCTAGATTTGCTAATTATATTGGCAATTATATATCTGAAAGGAAGCAATATGGTTAATATAATATAGAATGATCTCGTTACTTATTTATGGACCAAGTTTTATGAATTGGTAGAACATTGGGGTCAGCAAGGGTGAAAATGATCTTATATGTGTATTTTTTGAGTGAAAATAATGTATTTAGATAAAAGTGCATCAAATTATATTGAACCAATATAATTGTATTATAATTATATATAATAAAATGTATTATATGCATATTATTTGTTAAATAAAAATGTTAAATATTTTATAAAAATTTTATATAGATGACATGTGATAAATAATAATTGATTGATTTTAAATAATTTTTATGATTCAGCTAGAAAAATATAATTTTAATTAAAAAAGATATTAATAATTTTAATTAAAAAAGATATTAATAATTTTAATTGTTTCAATATTTTTCACCTTAGTACCCAACCCAATGTAGTGGTAAAAGGACTTCAAATCCATACAAAAAATAGGAAAAAATTGATCATAGCTATTATTTTCTCCCCTTTCTCTCACCACATTTTGAGTACACAATTAATATAATGAATATGGTCTCTAATATGTTATTGTTCAAAAATGTGATTGTTCATGTATACATCGGTCATTATTTTATATGTGTTTATCCATTACTAGAATTTGACCCCTACTATTTTAGGATAAGTTATTTTTCGTTATTTTTAATATATTTATAATTATTTTAATACAAAAAATAATAATAATTTTAACTCACATGTTGAATCTTATAAATATATCAAATTTAAAAAATAATCAATATACTATAATTACGTTTTTGTTGTTGGTTTGTTTTTTGGTATGAAGTGAACTTTTATTTTTTATTTTCAAATTTATAAACTATTTGATCAAATCTATGACGTTTTTTCAATTTATTTTAAATTATAAACATTTGAATCTTATAAATATGTCAAAACTAAAATAATTAATATATTATGATTACGTTTTTGTTGTTGGCTTTTTTTGTGTTTATGATGTGAACTTTTATTTTTTATTTTTAAATTTATATGAGTTATTTGGATGCAAATCTATGCATGTTTTTTCAATTTAATTTAAATTATAAACATTTTAAAAAAACTTTTTAGAAAAAGAGAAGGAAAATACGACAAATTTTTTCCCTGTATAACGACACTCTCTATTCCATATAAAGATAATTAGGGATTTATAAATAAAAAGCACCCAACTCATATTGAATAAAACTCCAACACATATTTACGAGTCTAATACTTTAACACACATAATTTTATTTCATTTTAATAAATTATAACATGAAAATACCACTTCCCAAATCAGAATACATGGATAAAGTCAAGAGCATGCAAATCAAATTATTACATTACCAAACACACCGACATGAGCTGCCATTACAAATAATTAACATACCAATAGTAGCCCAAAACACGCATAGCTTGTCACCAATTTGCTCCAATTTTTTATAATAAGCAAACCTCCAAGACCTGATTAAAACAAGGGGAGCCACTACTCCCCAAAACCCCATCGCAAATCCAAGCACTATGCTTACATAAAGCCAATTCACCTCTGATGTTTTCTTTCCTCCACTACTACCTCCATTTGTACCATCAGGTGCTTCGCCCTTTTTGTTGCAATTTTTAGTGACTGGAGGTCCGCAAAGATGATTGCCAATGTAAGAAGACTTGTCAAAGCTTTGGAGTTGGGTGCTTGATGGGATTTGTCCTGTCAAGTTGTTGTAGGACAAGTTGAAGTGATTCAAGAAATTCAAATTGGAAAAACTTGAAGGGATTTCACCATGGAGTCGGTTCATGGACAAGTCAAGAGATTCCAACATCTCCATATTACCAATGGTCTCTGGTATCTTTCCAGTTAGGAGATTCCCTGACAAATTTAATGACAGCAGTCCCATAAGATAACCAAGTTCTTTGGGGATCTCTCCTGTGAGACTGTTAACTGAAAGGTCTATGCCGGTAACAAGTCCGAGTGTGGTACTGTATTCATCCACTCTTCCTTTCATCACCAATAATGCACCAAAATAAAACGAGTTGTCAGGGTAGAATCTCGAGAACCAATTAGCCACGTGTGGGTTGAGGGTTGTGGCCATGGCACTTAGGTTACTAAAACATTTTGGAATAGCTCCTGAAATGTTGTTATAACCAAGATCCAAGACATGAAGAGAATTAAGAGCACAAATCTGATCAGGAATATAGTCTTGAAAGTTATTTGAACGGAGGTTTAGAATCACAAGGTTTGAGAGCTTGTCTCCAATCCATGCTGGAATACTTCCCGTCAATTGATTTTCACTAAGATCAAGAACAAGCATATTAACTAAATGCTGCAATATGGATGGTACTTCTCCAAACAGATTATTGTTACGAAGGCTTAATGACTCAATAAGACGCATAGATCCCAAGGATCTAGGAATTTTCCCAGTTAGACTGTTGTTTCCTAAATTTAGGACTTCCAACATTGGCATATTTTCCCAACAATCTGGAATTTCACCTGACAGAAGATTTGATTCAACGTGAAGAATGTTCAAAACTTTCAGGTTATTTGAGGAATTACAAAGAAAATTAAAAAGTGATCCTGAAAAAAAGTTCTTGGACAAAAATAAATCCCCCAAATCTGAGAATATTGCCTGTGGCAATGGACCTGTGAATAGGTTGGAACTCAAGTCAGCAATCCAACTTATCGGTAAATATGAAAACTCCCCGACTAATTGGTTATGGGAAAGGTTTAGATATTCAAATGAAGTCGAAAGGTTCCAAAACCAAGTGGGAATGACACCTGAAATTCCAGCATGGGAGATGTCTAAACTATACATGTTCCTTTGGAATTGTAGCCACTGAGGAAATTGCCGACCAAGACGCCAGTTACCTAGTCCAATACTTTCACAGTGAAAGGAGGAATCCAACTTGGGTTTGGTATAAACGTTAACATGTTGTTAGATGCCCAAAAAGATCTCAATATCGTGAGATTAGAAAAGTGCGTTTCTGATATATTTCCTTCCAACATATTATTGCTAACGTCTAAATGTTCCAAATTCCCAAGTTGTCCTAAAATTTGAGGAAGAGTTGCATTCAATCGATTGTATGAAATATCAAGAACTTTCAATGATGACAACTCCCCTATTGAGAATGGAATGGGACCAGAAATGGAGTTTCGGTTAAGGTAAAGGTATGCTAAAGTTTTAAATTGGCCAAGTTGATTAGGTAAATGGCCAGAAAGTTTGTTAAATGCAATATTTAATGACTCTAATCGATCCAAACTACATCTAGACAAACTCTCTATGATTTCTGAGACCTCATGATTAATTGTATTATTTGACAAATCCATCTCCCTCATATTGCAAAGACTTTCCAAATATTTGGGTTCAATCTCAAGCTGGTTATTTGAAAAATCAAGATGAGTAAGAGAGCTTAAGTTTCCAATGGCACTTGAAAAATTACCTTGCAGGCCGACACTGTTAAGACTAAGGAATTGAAGTTGGTTTAAATCAGACAACCAGTTGAGTGTTGATGATGAAGAGAATGAATTCCAACTAAGATCAAGAAATTTGAGAGAAGACATGTTTTGAAAGCCACTGGGAATCATACCTTCAACTCCACTAGAGCTAAGATCAATGGACACAAGACTACGAAGATTGAATATCCATGTCACCGAAGACAACATGTTTTGAGAAAGATCAAGAACAGCAAGAGATGTGTAATTAACACTGATTGGAGATGGACCATTATTTAGAGAGCATCCTGACAAGTGTAACTCCACCAAAGAAGGAAGATTGTGTGTTGCCTGCAGCCAATCAGTTGCTTTACTAAGATTTGCAAGGCTCAAACCAAGATACTGCAGAGATGAAAGACCAGAAACCCATTGAAGAGTTTTAGCTTCAAATAAGGAATTGATTCCAAGATCAAGATAATGCAGTTTTGAGAGATTTCCAAGATTATGGGGAATTGCTCCTACGAAATTTGCCCAAGAGAGGTTAAGATACGTCAAACTCTTCATCGAACCAATGAATTCGGGAATTGCCAGGCCTCCAAATTCATTATTACTTAAGTCCAGGAAACTGAGATGTTTCAAATCGACCAAAGATGGATTTATTTTGCCTCCTAACTTTGATCGAAAGTAAGCATCCCATTCAGCAGCCGGTGCATAAGCATCAGGACTAGTTGAAAGAAGCCCCAAATGCAGCTCTTTAACATGGCCAGTCAGGCTATTGCAGAAAACACCATGCCATTCACAGCAATCCTCACCTTCAACCCAAGAAGATAGCCTGTTTGATCGATCAATGAGGTCTTGCTTGAACGTCAAAAGGGCTTGCCCCTCACTTCCAATGCAAAGCACTTTGGAATTCCCATCACAAAAGCTAATAATAGCCGCTGCGATGACAAGAAGAAACCCAAACAAGGAAATTGTAACTGCTTTCATGGTTGCGTACTGATCATTGCTACCAACACCTAATATATAAAGTTAAAGAAAAATGTTTTCTACCACATCAAGCATTAGGAAATTTCTTCGAAGACTCCAATTTAAATTTCCAACTTGAATTTTCCACAGAAAGCATTCATATGTATGAATGAAATTCGGCGTGTAGAAAGAACATCAAAAGAACTTGACAAGGAGGTCAAGTCAAGTCAAGTCAACCAAGTATATGGAGTTAAAAATTTCCAGAAAATCCAATTTCCAACTTGAATTTTCCACGGAAAGCATTTATGGTCCATTTAAATTCTACAATTCTAGAAAGAAGAACAAAAAAGACTTGACTAGTAAGTCAAGTCCACCAAATCTATGAAGTAAGTTCCACGGCCAAACAATTAACTCTTTAAGTCTTAGAAAGAGAAAAAATATAAATAAAAATGAAAATATAGAAAAAAAAAACTACAAAAAATCTAGAGAAGCTAAGACTCTTTTGCTTTTCTTTTTTTTTTTTTTTTTTGCTATAGTTACTTACTTTTTTTAATATATGTATGGATCCTAAAATTAAGAAATTTGTCGAAACAAGAATATTAATTCAAATTTAAAAGTGGTTTTATATAAAAATCTATGAGAGTAAAATGCTTAATTTTGCAAATTAAAATTTCAGTTTATCTTTCATAGTTAACATAATTATTTTTTATCCGTTAACTTTCAATACAACTTTAATCACCAAATATTAGTCTAATTTTCACAATTAATAATTACAGATATTAAGATTTGAATTTTAAATTTACCAAATATCATATTTTAAAAATATTTATATGAATCAATTAAATTTAAATTTAAATTTTTAAAACAAGATTTCAATGCTCGATTTGATTGTACTTAGTATGATTCATATAGTATCACCAAACTTTTCTTTTTTTATATCCAACAAGCAATGGAACTAACCCCTCATATAAGCCATGAAAAAAAATTCTTTTAAAATTATAAGGAGAGAATTTATAAATTTTAATGACATGTTGTATTTTGATTGATTGAATCTACAACTGATGTAATAAAAAATGTAATAATTTTTTTGCATAATTGAACGATATTAATTTAAGTAATTATAATTTTATTATTTCGTATTAAATTGTATATAAACTCTAGTTGTATAATTTAAACGATATATATTTAAATATAAAAGTGTTGGGCTAGTTTTGTTTTGCCTTCTACCTCCAAGCAAATTGGGTATTAGAATCTTGACAGGCTCAAACTGTTAGGAAAATGGGGTCCAACCTCATGTAAGTAGTTTTGGACAAAGTAAAGGCCATGGGCCTTGATCTTTCATTTTACACAGAGCCCTAACTACTTAATAAAAAAGAGGTGGGGTTGTTTTAAGGGTGTGTCGAAACCCAAGTAGAGAAAGAAGAAAAGCCAAAAAAAGCAGAGAGAAAAAGGAGAAGGGAGAGTTGGTTGAACGAAAGTCGATCCGTGGTCCGATTAAGTTGAAACCTTGTCAGGAGGTTATGATTCAGAGTTTTACATTTTGAACGGTGAAGATCGGGTTTGAAGCTCTCTAGGAATAAATCCAGGGTGTATTTGTTGAGTTACTTATTTAGTGAGATTTCTCCAATTGCTTCTCTAATTGTTGATTAGCTCTAGTTTTAGCTAGAGAAGAACTTTGTATACCTATTATTTGATAGTGAAGATTTTTTTGGTGGTCCGTGATATTTTATCTCTACACTGGAGGATTTTTCACGTAAATCTTGGTATGCTTTATCTTTCCTGTGTTTTTTATTATTGATTGTTGTCTATTGCTTTTGTATTGTTGTGATTATTGCTTCAGGTGCAACAAGTTATATTAGAGCGAGGGTTATTTTGAGACATCGATACAGAAGCAACCCATGATAGAAATAAATTTTGTTTGAGATCATGGAGGGTGATACAGGTTCTATGATAAAATTGACAGCATCGAATTATTCAATTTAGAAGCCTATGATGGAGGATCATCTATACTGTAAAGATTTGTATGAGTTAGTATTGAGTGATTTGGCTAAACTAGCAGATATGAAAGATGAAAGCTGAAAGAAGCTAGGTAGAAAGACGCTAGCTACAATAAAAAAATGGATTGATATCAACGTGTTTCATCATGTAGCGCAGAAGTCAAATGCTCACATTGTTTGGGAAAAATTGGCAGCATTGTATGAGAGAAAAATATGTATGAATAAGTTATGCTTGTTAAAAAACTTACAACTTTACAGTACAGGGATGGATGATCTGTTACAGAGCACTTAAGTGATTTTCAAGATATATGTAATCGGATGACTACTATAGAGCTTAAGATGGATGATGAAATGAAGGCGTTATTTCTTTTGGGTTTATTACCAGACAGCTAGAATACTCTAGTTGTAACTGTTCTTAATTCTGCTCCTGATTATAAGGTAACATTAGAGATAGTAAATGACAGTATGCTTAATGAAGAAGCAAAATAAAAAGATGTAGATCCTGGAAATCAAGCTCTGGTCACAGAAAACAGGGATAGAAACATCGACAGAGGTCAGGACTCAAAATACCATGGTAAGTCTAAACATAGATCCAAGTCTAAAGGTAAAGTGAAGTGTTTCTATTGTGGTAAGATGGGTCATATAAAATGAAACTGTAAAATCTTGAAACAAGAGCAAAAAGATGAGAAAGTCACGAGTTTAGATGATGGTAATATTACAGTAATAAATTCAGATAGTGATTCAGTTACTTTGATTTGTACACATGATGATTGTAATCATATTAATGATCCCGACATTGAGTGGATAGTTGACACATGAGCGACATATCATTGTGTTCTTAAGAGAGAGTTGTTTACAACTTACAAAACAGAAGACTTTGGTTGTACCAAGATAAAAAATAAGAGTGTGTCACAGATTGTTGAGATTGATGATATTATTGTACAAACTAGTACAGATTACATATTGACTTTGAGAGATGTTAGACACATTTCAGATATGAGAATAAACTTGCTTTCTATTAATGTTCTTGATGAGGAGGGATATGAAAGTCGATAAAAGAATGGACAGTGAAAGCTTCTCAAAGGATCTATGGTAGTTGTAAGAGGAAAACTATGCTACACAATGTATAAGACATGGATGTAATTAAACGGTAACCAGGTAAATGCCGTTGAAAATGATGCTTCAGCAAACTTGTGACACAAGAGGCTGGCACACATGAGTGAAAAGGGGTTACAAATTTTAACAAGGCAGTCTCTTATTCCCTTTGACCAAAGGTATGTCTCTTGATTCATGTGATTATTATTTGTTTGGTAAGCATCATAGGGCTTCTTTTCGTAAAAGTTCTTAGAGAAAAAAAATAGATTAGAATTAATTTATTCTGATGTATGTGGTCCCATTAAGGTTAAGTCATTAGGTGGTAGCAGATATTTTATTACTTTTATTGATAATGCTTTACGTAAGACTTGGGTGTATATGTTGAAATACAAAAGTCAGGTACTGTAGTATTTTTAAAAATTTTATGCCATGGTTGAAAGGATGACAGAATTACCCTTGAAGTGTATTTGAACTGATAATGGTAGGGAATACACATCTAAAGGCTTTGAAGAGTATTGTTCAAAGCATAGGATCAGGCATAAGATAACAGAACCTAGAATACCGCAGCATAATGGTATAGCTGAAAAAATGAATTGTACCATTGTAAAAAAAGTCAAATGTATGTTAAGGATGGTAAAATTACCAAAACCATTTTGAGGTGAAACATTCAACATAGCTTGTTATTTACTTAACAGGTCACCATCAGTTCCTTTAGGCTTTGACATTTCAGAAAGAGTGTGGACAGAAAAAGATATTTCATACTCTCACTTGAAAGTTTTTTGGGTGTAAAGCATTCATGCATGTGGTTAAAAGAGAAGAGATCAAAGCTTGACAGTAAAGCCACACAGTGTGTGGTTATTAGGATATGGTGATGAAGAATTTGGTTACAAGATATGGGATCCAGTAAAGAAAAAGATAATCAAAAGCAGAGATGTGGTCTTTCAAAAAAAAGAAACCATAACAAACCTTGAGAAAAATGAGAAGACTACACGAGTTACTGTTGAGTGTGATGTTTTAACACCGACAGGATTCCACAAGAAAGAGTCACAGATGGTGAAAATGAGTAAAAAATAGAACTTAGGGATATGAATGAGCCAGCCATAGTTGGTGATGAGCTAGATGCAATTAGTTTTGAGCAGGGGGAGTAATTCTCTCTACCTGAGAGTGTTGAGCAGACGGAGCTACCTTCGGCATCAAGTGATGTAGAGTCTCAGCCTAAGAGATCTACTAGAGAGCACAGACCATCTACCATGTATCCAAGTTCAGATTTTATTTTAGTTACCAGTGAATGAGAGCCAGAAAGCTTCTAAGATGTGTAGGCAACTCTGGATATAGAGCACTGGTTAAAAGCAATGAAAGAAGAGATGGAGTAATTATGAAGAATGGTACTTATGATCTTGTTAAACTTTCAACAGGGAAGAGGCCATTAAAAAATAAATGGGTATTCAAGTTAAAAAAGAATGGTGGACAAACTAGTGAGGTACAAAGCTCGATTGATAGTAAAAGGTTTTTTTTAAAAAACCATGCATCGATTTTGATGAAATTTTGCTTCAGTTGTAAAGATGAGTTCTATTCGAGTGGTACTGGGATTAGCAGCTAGTTTGAATCTTGAGCTTGAGCAACTTGATGTTAAACTGCATTTTTGCATGGTGATTAGAAGGAAGACATTTATATGAATCAGCTTGAGGGTTTTGAAGTGAAAGGGGAAAGAGCACTTAGTTTGTAAATTGAAGAAAAGCTTGTATGACTTGAAACAAGCTCCGTAACAGTGGTACAAGAAGTTTGATTCTTTTATGGTGAGTCTTAGCTATAAAAGAACAACAGTGGATTCTTGTGTGTATGTTAAACAATTCTCTAATGGTAACTTCATTATCTTATTATTATATGTTGATGATATATTGATTGTAGGATAAGATGCTAGTATGGTTTACAGGTTGAAAGAACAATTGTCTAAGTCCTTTGATGTGAAGGATTTAGGTCCAGCAAAGTAGATTATTGGTATGAACATTATCCGAGATAGGAGAGCTGGAAAGCTATGGTTGTTACAGGGAAAGTATGTTGAACAAGTGCTTGGTAGATTCAACATGCAACATATTAAATCAGTTAGCAGATCACTTGCCAACCATTTTCATCTAAGTAAAAATCTTGTCTAGTGTCTAAGGAAGAGCAACTAGCTATGTCTAGTATTCCTTATTCTTCTGCAGTTGGTTCTTTAATGTATCTTATGGTTTGTACAAGGCCTGACATTGCTCATGCAGTTGGTGTAGTGAGCA